TACACTTAGGCCAGGATCCAATGTTTGGATTAATGGTGCCATTACCCAAGAAAGGACTTCAGATAATGCTCATTCTTAAAATGTTTTTGCTGGCAATTAAATGGTTGCAGTTATTGATCTTCATTGATCTGATGTCCTCAATTTGCATAATCTATTAAAGATGAATGATTCATTATATGTTTGCTATGGGCTAGGCAATGCTTTCAGGAAGGGCCAGAGAGGTGAGGAACTCGGTGCTGCCTCCTGATCTGCCCCGGCCAGGAAATTAAGGAAGAGGCTGGGAGCATGCAGGGCTCCTAGGTATCACCCAGATCCCTCTCCCAAGAAGGGATGTTGCAGAAACAGCAAGTACTGATTTGCTGGCTGCCTGTGTTGCTGCTGCCATGTCATCTTTGAAACGCCTCTCTGCTCTCGTCCCCGGGCAGCCCGTGAACCCACGTGGTATCTGAAACACGGGAGACACAACTCCACCCAGGCAGGGTACAAGCTGTGTGCGCAGTCGCTTCAGGATGTAAGATTTAGCTTCAGTCTACAAGAAAGTCTCCCCAGCTCAGTCTTCCCAGACAGGAAAAAGTATCACTAGCTCTTCCCAAACCAAAGCTGTCTGGTGCTGGATTCTTGCCCCTTCTGAAGACTTCAGACAAAGTCCTTTTCCTCTCTCTGGCTCGTGACTTGCCTCAGCACGCTCTCTCAGCTCACACCGTTCTGCAAACAGACCCTTCCAAAAGCCATCAAAACCTCAACAATATGTAGCTATCTAAAATCCTGGAATGCAGTGAGATAGTGAGGTACAGATGTTGCTGAAGTCCCTCTATCTGCCTGTGAGCTTCCCAGAACTGCAGAGCTCCAGCGCTGCAAAGCAGGCAGCCACCTCCCCAGCGTGCAGCCAGGCCTTCCCCAAAGCCCTGGGCATCTGTTCGAGGCTGAGCACCACAGTTACATACAGCACAGCCTTGCCTAGTGCTGCCAATATCAAGCACTGCCTTTCAGCCAATTGTTCTGTCTAATGCGTCTTAGACGGTCCATTTATTACGCACATCTCCTAAAGCAAGTAAACAAAAACAGCTGCTTACTGTGGAGCAGACAGGTCACCCTCATTTCTGCCCAGTATCTGCAAGGAATTTCCACGAATGAGCTGACACTTAGGGGCTGGCTGGGCTCTCGGCTAAGAAACACGCTCCCGCTGTGCTCCATAGAGAACAGACAATGCAGAAATTTTCAGCTTCCTTGTGAGGTATCAGAGAGAGAAGCCTTTTCCTGCACACACAGGCCAGTGGGCCAGCGACAGCTTGCATTGATGTTGCGTGGCCATCATAGCTAGATTAGCGTAGATCCCTGACAGTTTCTCGGACAGTATCTTGGGACACCCATCAGACTTCCTAGGAGCAAAGAGCCAAGCTTGAACATACCAAGATAAGGCGAGTACATGCAGCTGAACACCAAGACAAGAATTCTGTTGTTCAGAGATGTTCTACTTCAGTTATTTCTGTTGAAGGCAGACAGCCCAGGCAGATGAGTATAAATCTGTACAGGGCTAAGTAAACACAGACAACCTCAATAGCTTTCTTCTATTCGGTAGTTTCCACAGGTCTTTGATTTGCGAAAGAACTCAGTAGCTAACACCTGGGAGGTGAGCGGAGGAGAACCTCAAGATTTTGGCAGTAGCAGCAGAAGTGCTTTAAAAGCACAAGGTTGTTCTCAGAAGCCTTGAATCCTTTGAGAACAAAGGTTACGATCCTTCTTCAAGCGCCGTCAGAAGTCACATCTTTTGGAACAGGCATGCATGAAGAGAGTGGTGTGTTTTCAGACCAGGCTGTGAGTTCCGGGGACATGGATTAATAGTGTGAGAGCAGAGTCCGTTCCAACTCAGTTATCTAGCCCAGAAGTTACCCAACAGAGAGGCAGCACTATGGGAAATAAGACACAATGGACTTTTCCTGTATGGCTTGAAAGTTGCTTATTAACAGACTACTGAAGGGCAGGATTTACCCACTGGATGGATCATAAAATTACAGCAAAGATAAAGAAAAACCTCCCTTAATTGAATCCCGGCAGTTTTACCTAAATAGACCTCATTTGCCAGCCCACTACAATCAGTAAGATCTGCAAAGAAAAGTAAAGGTAAACGACAAGCCCAAGAAAAACAGGGCAAGAAAAGCACTTCAGCTTCTTCTACTGTGGACTGAAACGGGAGCATGTGTCCCACACTCTTCCTGCGAGGAGGTTTCTGAGTGCTTCTGTGCACCTATTAAGAGGACTAGATAACTTTTAAAATCATCATTGCCCACCAAAACAGCTACCAGGTCCCATACAGAAAATGCTTCCTTTTGTCTGGGAAGCAAATTTTTCCCTAAAGCAACTAGTATGATCCAGGGTGAGAAGTCCTGAGGACAACGCCCGATGTGTCAAACAAAGGCACCAAGAAAGCACAAACCCCATCAATCTCACTTCACTCCGGACCTCCGCTCTCTGGCATGGGGTGAGGGTTTTTTTCAGTCTAAGTTAACTTTCTAAATTCACACCTGAACGTATGCTAAAAAAAAAAAAAAGTAATTACTGACATTAAGGCTACTTGCTGTGTCTGAAAGATATACAAAAATAGTACTTAAACAGCATCTGATTTCTGTGAAAGTTCTCCAGAAAGCTGTGATGCTAAGCATGGCAAAACCACTGGCCAGACACCTGGGTCCAAAGCTTCTCTGAAATGTTAAACAATCTTTTGAGAACTTCAGCCTCCTGCAAGGTGAAAAGATATTCTTCCCGTCGTTTCAGCTTAGTGAGTGAACTGAAGAGAATTTTGTTCCATTCAATAACTAGGTTGTTCAAAACTAAGAAACAAACTAGGATTTGA